ACGTGGCTGTCCTGTGTGAGTACAGCGTGGGGAGGGGGCCTCGCGTACCCGGGCAGGGGGGCAACGGGGCAGCAGCTGGGGCTGGACCAGGGCAGCGGTGCTGCATGGCTCCCTGCTGCATGCCCTGTCGGGGGACATAGCCCATCCACCTGGCCAAGGCAGCGCTGCTGAGCTGTGCTCGTCCCTGCCCGTCAGGGCTGTGCAGGGGCCCTGCGTCTCCCCAGGGCCGGCGTGGGGCTGACACTGCTCCTTCCCGGCTGCCCAGGTGTCCTGGCTGTGATGGGGCTGGAGGCTGCTGCACTGGACGAATGCGAGATCACCCGACTTCTCCAGGACAAGCTGCAGTACGAGATGCGCCTGCAGTACATGGTAACCCCTTCCCTGTGCCGGCGAGCCGTTCCCCCTCTGGCCCAGCTCCCGCCGCCGGTGCTGCAGCCTGGAGGGGCTCAGTTCTGTCCCCAAGCCCTGGCTTTTGGCACATAGCTGGGAACCACGGGCAGATATCTCTGTGTGGTGGCCCTGAAGAGCTGACCGGAGCCAGCCCCAACTTTTGCATTGCAGACCCAGGACTGCTCCTGGATGGGGAATGCCAGGGCCAAGCCCTCTGCTGCTGCAAGATCTGGGGCTTGGGGTTGGTGGGCACTGGGTGATGTTTCTGCCCTGCTACGGTTGAGCTGTGCTGGATTGTGCCCAACACTATCTCTGCTGGTGCTTCTCATCTTGGAGCGGTGGCCAAGCCAGAGGGCTCCGTCTCTGATGCTCCTTCCTTGATGTCAAACTGCAATGGGTGTTGTAGCCTTCAAACAAGTCCAAGGGCTTTCCCACTGTTTCCCCTTTTCAAATGAGGCTGGTGGCATGTTCCTGTCCCCACTGGCACAGCCCAGAGGACAGGCTAGAGACCTTTGCTCTTTGCTGCCAGCCTCTGTGCTCTCTCTCGCCTTTCCAGAAACACTATTTCCCCATCGACTACACCGTGCAGGTCCAGTACGAAGAGGTGCTGAGGCCGTCCAACATCACCCACCTGGTAAGATGCCAATGTTGGGCCTGGCACGACAGCGCTGGGTCCCGGGGTGCTGAGGCTGGGGGTGCCCCCCCTGCCATGTACCAGCCCGGG